CATCAGTATTTTGGTGAGCCGCTTTGGGCCAACGATCAGGTCGATGACAAGCGGATACCTCCCCGGGTGTGGGATGGTATCCGGATGGTCGGTCTGGTCGAAGGTTATAGCAGACTCTGACCACCGAAGGAAGGGAGGTGTGGCCGGTTGGGCCGTGTAGACCTCACGGCGTGCGACCTTCTCACGGCGTTTGGAGTCGTAGGCCGCCGATCCTCCGAAGATCATAAGGCAGCCGTTCGGTGTCAGAAAGCCATCGTCCTTCTCCTCGTCGTCGTCCGTCGTGGGGGCAGGTTCCTTCCACTGCTCCCTTTTGTTGGAGCTTCCGAACAAGAATTTCCACATGAGGCTGCAGTCCTTGAGCGGATGCTTTACGGGAAAGGCGTGGTTCGGGCACGGCCCTTCGAGCATTTTTTTGAAGTGGTTCGGAGTGCCCTCCGCAGGCTTCCGACCACCCTTGCGGTCAGCAGCGGTCACGAGTGAGTCCTCACGCCATTGTTTCTTATTCTTCCTTTTGGCGGAACGATTGGAGGTGCCTTCGCCGGTACCCTCGTCCCGCCTTGCCTTGCCCTCGAGGCGATCGAAGATCGCTCTGACTGCCTCCTCTCCTGAGGCGTCGCTGGTGGCGATGTCCAGGAGTTCCTTGGTGGTACGCGGGCCCTTGCGTCCCAGCTTATGAACCAAGGATTCGTAGGTCATCCCGGGCAGGAAGGCTCCTATCATGTCAGCGTCGGCGATGTTAGGGAGCTCATTGCACTGCCGGGAGAAGCGCCGGATGTACCTGCGGAGGGTCTCACCAGCCTTCTGACGACAGTTCTTGAGGTCCCATGGGTTTCTAGGGCGTTTGTATGTGCCCTAGAAGTTTCCCACAAAGATCTCCTTTAGATCCGCCCAACTCTGGATTGCGTTGGACGACAGGTGTTCCAACCATGCCCGGGCTGAATCGGCCAAGAATAGTGGAAGGTTGCGGATAATGAAGTCGTCATTATCTGCACCACTGGCATGACAGGCAAGCCGTTAGTCTTCAAGCCAAAGTCCGGGGTTTGTTTCTCCAGAGTATTTAGAGATATTGGTAGGTGGTCGATACCTTGGTGGGAATGCAGCGTTGAGGACGTGCTGGCCGAAGGCCTGAGGCCCTGGCAGGCCGGGGCTCGGGCTCCGGTCCTCGCCGCTATCGTAGTGTCCGCCGCGTCGAGGATGATATCCGCGGTGGGCTCCTTCCCTCGGGTCGCTGTAGGTACGTCTGCGGGCGTCAAGGGTGCTACGCGCGTCGTGGTTACGGCCGAGACGCTGATGTATCTGGGTCGCAGTGCGCTGCTTGCTACCTTGCGGTGCCTGGTGGACTGATGCATCTCTGGCGGGACACACTAAGGGCGTGCGCTGGCTGGTGTCGAGCTCGCGTCGCCGAGACAACGAACTTTCCGCCTGCTGCGATGCCGCACGCTTGAGCAGCGTGTGAATCTCGCGGTGGACCCGGCGATCCTCGGGCGTTGCGGCCTCTGGAAGGCCATGGAGCAAGGCTGTTGCAGCAGCGATGTTCTGGCTCGCCTGAGCGAAGTGAGGAAGGGTTTCATCGTCGGCGATGATCCTTCGGTTTACGTCGCGGGCCACGGCGCGTGCGTGCCCACCGTCTCCATGGCGTTCGATCTCCCGATCGACTTAGCTGCTCCACCCCTACGTGGGACGGGGCTGCCGTTCTTCCTTCGGTTCTGTCGCCGAGGTTGCCTACCGGGGTAACCTCCTTCTCGGAGGCGCTTTCGACGTGTCCCTCGGAGGTTTCCGCCATGAAGCATTCCCGGGAGGGATGATGGCTCCCCCTGCTAGAATCAGAGCCAGAGTCTGACCGCGGACCATCCGCGAGGAGGCCATGGAGGGATTCTGTGACGCTTTCGATCATCCCCACGAACTCGTTGTTCGCAGGGGACAGGATCGTGCGCTGGGCCACAAGGTGGCTTACGGTCGCCGCGGCGTTGCGGAGACCGAACGAAAACGCCATCGGGGCGCTCCGTGCAGAGTGTTCCGGAGAGAGGGTGAGGCGGCACGGGTCCTCCTTGGACGGCTGGGGTTCGAGGGAGACGCTGGGCTGGCGCTCAAGCCTCCTGTAGCCGGAGCCGTTGGAGGGGAGAGATTGGATGGCGAGATGGGCCAACGCCAACTCTCCTCCCACCGTGACGATGAAGTCCAGGTCACCGAAACGCACGTGTGCGCTCGGGACCCAGCTGATTGCGTGGTTAGCCATCCAAGGCCTGATTTGAAATGCGCAAAGGCCCCTACCTGGCGCGCCAACTGTCGGTGTTTCGAACAAACACCGGCTAGTAAATTTATAATTGATGCGCGTTAGGCTCGGATGGTGCACTAAAGGACACAAGGTTTATACTGGTTCGGGCCGAATGTCCCTACGTCCAGTCTGCTGCTGCTCGTGTTATTAATACCGAAAAAGGTTTGTAGTAGGCGGTACAAAAGGTCGAGAGAGGGACTGGTCCCAAGTCTCTGATGGAAAAGGTCAAAAGGACGCCAAGAGCTTGGTCGCTACTTGGCTGTATGCGTGATACGTGCTGTCGAATCGTGTCGATCAATCTCAATGTGAGTTGATCCATCCCTTTAGCGGGGCGTCCTGCCCTCCCTTTTATAGACCAAGGGGGAGCAGGGGTTACATGATGGAGGAAGGAGAAAAACCAGAGGCCAAGAAGCCCCTCCGAAGGCGTTGGGTCTTCCTTTTCCTCTGAGCCAGCTTCGCTGACACGGCCACACGGTGTCAGGGATTGGCACGTTCGCTAGGCGCCTGTGTGCTGACGACGCCATGCCCTTACTTGATCAGCAAGTGGTCACGTCCCGTCTCGCCCCCCCCCGAGCGGCATGTCGGACAGGGGTGTTGACCTGTAGCCCTATGGGTTGCGGACGGCGCGGTGACCGCACGTTCGTCACTGTAGAGGACGCGAGTCTCTTCTTGGACCATAGTGGTTGTCATATGTTTATGTCAGGTTCCGCGCCCGAGGACTGAAGGCGGCGCCTACAACACTATTCAGACACTGTCGTGCCCGGAATGGTCTAAAGCGCCCGTCCCGTCGTACCCTGACGGTACTTTGCTGCAGCGGTGCAGGGCATGGTCCTTGGTACTGCGTTTGACTCGAATGTCCTGTCGTATCCTGTGCTTGTCGTCATGAAGGAGCAAGGTGTAGTCGTCGGGCGAGGCGGAGCCAGCCCTCGGGGGTTGGGCGAGACGGAGCCAGCCCTAGGACGTCGTGCGAGGCGGAGCCCGCCCTCGGGCGTCGGGCGAGGCGGAGCCAGCCCTGAGCCGTCGGGCGAGGCGGAGCCCGCCCTCGGAGGTCGGGCGAGGCGGAACCAGTCTTCCATTGTTCGGACAAGAAGTGCAGTAGCGTTCTCGTCTGACCGGAAGTGTCAACGTTCGATGTTTATTAGTTCCACCTCATTGGGTACCCCGGTATGAGGTCCCCGACAATACTCTTATTGATTGTGAAGATGGTCAGTGCAGCCATGCTGTCAACTTGAATGCCTGCAAAGAGATAGCTTACTTTAGCTTGAAACCATGTACAAAAACCCTGGACATAACATGGGCAACGTTAGAAACATATGTACCTTCCAAGGCGATGCGGTGAAACTTGCTGTGCTGGTACGAACGTGTGCTTAACAAATAACAAGCCACCCAGTAATCAGTTCACATATTCCTTATCAATTATTACCTTTAGCTTGCTTGTTGCTAGCTTTCTGCATTGCTCTGATAGCTTCTCGCTGCACTTGTGGACCTCCAATTCTTCCAGCGAAGGTGGGAGGCCCCTCTCTGGTAGCCTGGAGATACTCGGGCAATAAATGATCTCCAACCGCTTGAGGGAGGGATGGCTATGCAGACCCACAGGAAGATCTGACAGTTTGGAGCAATGGTGAAATCCGAGCTCTTGGAGGGACGTGAGGAGCTGAAGCGCTGCCTCTTGCTCGCATGTTAGTCCTGCCGCGTGGATATGTCTAAATTTGTCCTCGAGCTTTAGGCATTGGAGAGGTGAGGTGCTTGCAGAATGGCGTGGTAAGAAAATACGGGTCGTCGATCTGAAGCCTTTCCAATCCAGGGCACAGCTCATAACCCTGCGTTGATAGACTCTTCAAACATTGAGGTAAGCTTGTGCATCCGTATACTTTCAAATACCTGAGACCGCGGAGGGATTGGAAGCCCTTTAGTGCGTCTAGCGATTTGCAATATCCAATTTCTAGTTTTTACAGTGCTGTGCAGGAATGCAGCTGTAGAAATTTCAATGCAAAGATATCCCACACTTTTAGTACTGTGAGACTGGGTCTGATATCCAGTACACCAAGTGAACACGGGAGAAGCCATCTTCCGTTTGCTTGGTCATCAATCTCATCTTCATGCACCAAAGACGATATCAGCTCGTCGCATCCAACAATTCTTAGCTCCTCAAGGGAGATGAATCCAGAGATGCCTTCCTTGTTCCCCTGAAATGTTGTTAGATGGCAATATATAATTTCTATCTTCTTGAGAGAGGGGATAATATTAGATGGAATGCGCAAGAGTTTGCTAGGACATCGCCTAGTCGATGCGCCATCATGAATTTCTCTGTGACAAGGCACGTGGAGCTGATGTGAGATTTGATAAACTATTCTCTTTTTCTTGTATCGATAGCCCTGTTACCTGCATACAAGTCAAGTATGCAGATGCAATTCCTCTAGGGCTCACACATGTTGCAGCATCACAGATATCCACTCTCCAGTTATTCCACAATCCACAATGCTAAGACACTCGAGAGACGGTAAGGCATCAAAATCTGTGTTTGCCATGTTTTTTATGGGTATGCGTTGACGGAACATCCAAAGAGAAAAAATTACCTATTGCCAACCTCTTCAAGCAGACGAGTTGCCTAAGACCTTCGAGTGAAAAATACGATAGGTTTTCGCAGCCCATTATTTCCAATTGAGTCATAGTCCGCAGGTTGCGAAATGACAAAATTTTGTCATCCAGGGTCAGCCCTGATGATTCAATTCTCAATTCTGCGTCTGATGATCTTTGGAAGTGCGGAAACTCTTTCGATGAATAATTTGCAAAATCTACTTGATGGTGGTAGAGGATTTGATACCATTAAATGAAGACACCCATGGATGGTGAGCTCGCTAACATTGGGCAACCATGACTTCTCGATTTCAAATTTTTCACAACTCTCAAAGAGGGGAAAGGCCTTTAGTACCAAGCATCTCCTGATCTCCAGTACCCTCAAACTTGAGTTCAGGTCCCTCACTGAATTGGGAAAACATCTTTCCAACTTTGGCATATCAATCAAGACCAGCTCCTTCAACGAAGGAATTAACAATTTTGTTACTCTGAGCATATTCCTTAGCTTCAACTTTGTAAGAAATGATAGCCTTTCCAGAGATGGGAGAATTTCCCATCCTTTACAATCCTCTAGACGGATCGTCTGCAAGCAAGCAGACCATGATGGGGAGCAAGCACAGCATGCTCCCTTCGTTAGAACAAGTTTCCTTATGCTAACATGATCACTCATACCATCAATAATAACTGGTCGTCTAGCATCTAATACTTTAAGATGGTAAAAATTGCTCAGAGATATAGGCAAAGCTTCATTGCTCCATTTGTTCTCAAGTTTTAGGTAGCGAAGATGGGCACAATTTACCAAACTACAGACGAAGGTTTGGAAGGACCGGAAGAATAAAGAGTCATAATCCCCAATTAAGATCAATGTCCTCAATCCTCTCACTAAAGAAATTATACTCTTCAATTTTTCTTCGAACTTCCCATTACGAAGTATGATCCCACATTCATCTTCATGGTACACGGAATCAATTAGGATTGAAAAATGGCGTACGGTTGACAAAACTTCTTTGCACTCTAAACCATCCATAGTTGCAAACTCAGCCCTTGAAACTAGTCTTGCAAATTCATGCATAATACCACACATAACATAGTACTTTTGATGGTGTAGAATGGAGTCTTTTGTTTCAACATGCTGAAGGAAACCTGAGTTAACCAGAGCATTGAGGTAATCTTGTCCTACCTCAATAGATTTCACAAATCCCGACGATATCCACATGTAAACCAAATCATCAATATGGAACAAATAGCCATTTGGAAATATAGAACAAAACAAGAAACACTGCTGTAATTGGTAGGACAACAGATAATAGTTAATCTTCAAAGTAGTCATGATGCTTCCACGGTGTTGCAGAGATTCCCAAACACCATCCCTAATGATGTTTTTCCAATGGCCAAGAGTAGGCTGCTCTCTTAACATTTCTGCTGCACTTTCTGCTGCTAATGGGTTGCCCTTTAATTTTGCAGCTATTTGATACCCAATGTCTAGATGCTCTTTGTTGTTGTTATCACCAAATGCATATGCTTTAAACAATAGCAAAAAATCATCATCTTCCAAAGCTCCAAACTTAACTTTTTTTTAAATGAACGGCAGGAGCTCTGCCTCTCAATTAAGTTAGAATAAAAGAGAGTTTATGTACAGATTTTAGTCCCAACAAAAGTGAAAACAAAGGAAAAAAAAAGAAGTGGCAAACACACAGAACCACAGCCCGGGTGCAGCTCCAGCACCGGTTTGCTAGTTCCCCCCTTTCTAAAGCCCTTTTCCTTTGCTCAATGTCCTCTTTAATTCTCGCAGCGACCTGTGAAGCCGATTCCTGGGCATTATTGAAGATTCTTCGGTTTCTTTCCTTCCATAGATTCAAGCATGTGTAGATCACCAAGCCATTGAAACGTCTCCTTTCTTCTTTTGCGACCTTGGGCACAGTCTTCTCTCACCAAGCACTCAAGTGGATCGGGTCATGGTCGGACTGCATCAGATGCGTGTCAAAGTGCTCCCAGGTTAGGACTTGGTTCCAAACCGCCTTGGTGAATGGGCATAGAAGGGACAGATGCAGGCATGTTTCTAAAGGGCCATCACACAACATTCTGTGATCTTGGTGAGACCACCCTCTTTTTTGCTGGTTGTCCGCCGTGAGTATTTTTTCTTGTACAAGAATCCACGCTAAGACTTTGCATTTGTTCTCCGCCTAAGCCTTCCAAATTAGTTTGCTTCTGAAGATGCCATAGGATCCTTTGAATTGAATCCTATACGCCGAGCGAGTGGAGTAGCAGCCGTCAGCAGTCCATCGCCAGCTCCTAACTTAACTGGTTGGACTGTACCTAGCCTTTGTGCAATGGACAAATTTCTAGCTGTCACAATAATCACATTACCCTTTGTGCAACTTGATCCCAAAGCATCCAACAGATCTTTCCATCGGGAATCATCCATGCTGTCATTGACATCATCTAGAACAAGCAGAAACTTTTTGGGCTGACAGGCCATATGATTCTTTAAGACCTCTTGATGCTTTGTATAGTTACTTACTCCTTCATAGCTTTCTTTGGTGCGAGGAGATCCTTCATGGCTGTTTAGGGTAATAACGTCTAAGATCTCCATTATCACTCTTACTTCGTCAAAGATGTTGGACACCCAAACCCATATCTGCTCGAATTGGTGTTTAACATGTCGATCATTGTATACAAGTTTATTACCACGTTCATGTAAAAACTACGCATACTCACTAACATAATTCGATATTGGAAAAGTGATGCAATGCAGAACTTGAGGGTTAAGCAGTACCTTGGACAGTTCGGCGCCTCTTCAATTGTTGCGCGTTTTTTCTTGCAACTGGCACTGTTACGATGTTTGCGCAAAACTGACGTCCCGTAACTAAAAGCAACCTGTGTGCCACAGTCAATGCACTTGGCTCTCGCAGGCTCTCCATTAACAGCCGGTGTAATGTGAAAATAGTCCCACTCCTTGCATCGATTTTTGCCGGCGTTATTGTTCGGTACACCAGCAGTACTGGCCGATGCAGCTACGTGCTCTGCTCCATCTCTATTATCTCCATCTCCAACCATGCCTTCTGGCTCAATAGCAGGAGCAAGCATAACTGACAAAGAAAGGAGAAATCGGTGACATGTTATGAGGCGCGTTTATAATCACAGTTTATTCAAAAGAAGAAGAAAAAAGCTATAAAGAAAAAAATCACAAAATACTTACCAACAGTATTGGCCGATGCATCTACTTGCTCTGCTCCATCTCCAACGATGCCTTCCTGCTCAATAGCAGTTGACAGAGAAAGGAGAAAGTTACCATCACAATTTTCAAATAAAAAACTGTAAACGAGGTGTACACCTACCTCCTTGGACCTGTTGCTGGAGCCTGCAATAGTCGAGCTCATCCACCACGTGTCCACGTCGTCGGCGTCATACATGAGCTCCTTGACACGAGCGAGGGAGCGGGCAAGCGGCTTGTTCCCGACCGCCCTCCCCTTGACACCATTAATCACCGTCTCCATCCTCTCCACCTCAGACTTGAGTTCCCCGATGGCACCGGCGAGGCCGACTCCATGAAGCCAAGCGTCGAGCTCGTCGGTGGGTAGAAGAGCTTCGAGGATAGTTTGCACCTGCCATAGAATCGCGGACTCCACAGCGGCCGCCTCTGCCGCCTCCATCAGATCGATCTGAGCCATGGTGATGGTGAACGGAGGAGGAAGCAAAACTGAGGGTTGCGTAGCCAAAGCAGAGTAGTCAGAAGTGCATATGGATGGTTGGATGGAAGCTGGAAAGATGAGAGAGCGGGTCGATGGTCTATGCCCAGTCACAGTCACCAGCGGAAGCGTGGAAAAAAGAGGGCCCGCGATTTCCACTGCCATGTGGAGCAGTGACCAGCACAAGTGTCTACTCATCATCCGCAAAAAATATCTCCAACCTTCGGTTTCCAAATTGAACATGGAGCAACGTCGATTAAGAAGAAAATGCTCGGTGGAATCCATCTTCTCCGTGAAATCATGAGAACCCCAAAAAGATTAAGTTTTAAAAAACTAGTAAGTTAATTCGCACGAATAGTATAGGTAGGTACTTTGATTATTATTATAGTATATTTGGGTTTTTTTATTCAGTTGAGTGCAGTGAGAACAAATAAAATAAGAATGCGCACAACGAGAAAAGTATAAAAAAAGAGAATGCAAAAATAGTAGTTGCATTTTGACGCTCTCCCAACAGAGCTATCTCCACTTGTGTATTTCATTTTTATATATTCTTATATATGAATACATTTCTGGGCGGCCTCCACCATATGACCGCTAAGCTGTGTGCTGTGTACCTAACAGAGTATGCCGGCCCAGGGCTCAATCCTTCAGACAGGGATGAAGCCAGAAAAAAATTTAGGAGGGACTGAACAAAAGAATAGAGACTTTTTATCTTCTCGTACCCTTAGCCCCTCATACCTAATACATATATGCATAAAATTTTAAAGGAAGACTTAGGGGGGCTTCACGTGCCCAGGATCGGTAGGGGGGCCGAGCCCCCCAGCCCCACCGCTGGCTCCGTCGCTGCCTTCAGATCTTCAGTCTGACGCTCTCCCAACTGAGGTATCCCCGCTTTTGTGTTTTGTTTGTGCAGTTTTGTTTATATCAATTAATTTCTGGTCGACTTACGCTGTATAACCAAGCTGTGCTGCGTTCCAAACAGAAGCAGTGTGTCCCGGCCCAGGGCTCAATCCTGGGTGATGAGGTCCTTCCTCTGACTGATGGCACCATCAACAGCGCTACAAGAGTTAAAGGAGCGTGGCCTGTAGTTGTAATTCAGAGCTGCACTGAATCACAGTGCAAAAAAGTCCATTTTGCTTTCTTTTTTTTTTAGAAAAATAAAAACTTTATCCTCACCTATCATATGGTGCTGTTTTCTGGATAAACACGTTGCAAGTTTCAATATTTTTGTCCACGACTGATCATAATTTGATATTGCAAAGGTGCGCCATTAATTATATTGCGGCTACATGAATTCCGCATAGTCAAGCTAACTAGTACCTTGAAGAGTTTGAGTTTGGTGTCAATCCAATAGCTACAAATTCTCTCTTGCGATTGTGCAGAACTGATGTCCCTTCAGTAGTGTTGCACCTAACAGCCATTGTACAGAATGCACTCTTCTTTCACAGGTTTCCGTCAACACTCAACAGCCATTTGCAGTCTGAATTCCAAAACCCATCCATGCCTTGGACCGTTTCTTGCGATTGGTGCTGCTCGCTGTCTAGGTTTATAGCAGAGAAATAAATGAGTTGCTTCAATCCCATCCCCATTATGTCTACTGGTTAGCAAGAAAGCAAGATGATTGAGGATAACATTATTTACACCAACTCTTTTGATTACAGAAAGTGCATTCTATATATATTGTAGTCCCTTCTATAGTCAACATAAAGAATAAACACCCTCGGGAAGAAAATACTGATAGGCTCCTTTCAGTCATATGACAACAGAACCTCTACTACCTCGCTGCTTTCAGAACGGCCGGCAAGGCCAATCAGGAAAACCGTATACAGCATTCAGCAACATGAGCACTTGAGCAATGAGGACAAGGTTTACAAGTGAAACAAAACCCTGTGCAGAATCAGAGAACCTGTCACAAGAAACATCATTTTTTTTTGAAACTAGAAACATCAGGTTTTTGAGGCTACAGAGTGAAAAGAACTACACTTTTGGCACTTTTGGCATTGGCTTCTCGCCCTTGGGCCGTGGTCAACAATAAGCCTTGTAATTTGTAGCGGGTCTCCTAGGAGAAACAGGGAAGTGCTTTCAACACTTGCTCGAACAGCTTGTAACAGTATGATACTCCTATAGGTTCTGAAGACGGTCACTGCAGCCATGGTGTCAGCTTGAATGCTTGCAAATAGACATAAAAATGTATGTAAACCATCAAGATAACATGGTCAACGGTAGAAGTATACCTTTCAAGGCGAGATGTGGAGAAACCTGTAATCAGTTCACATAATTCCCATCAATTTTTACATTTAGCTTGCTTGTCGCTAGCATTATGCATTGCGCGGTTAGCCCCATGCTGCAATGGCGGACCTCCAGTTTTTCCAGGGAAGGTGGGAGGCCCCTTTCTGGCAGCCTTGAGATACTCGGGCATTCACTGATCTCCAACCGCTTGAGAGAGAGAAGGCTATGCAGACCCACAGGAAGATCCGAGAGTTCGCAGTAACCAACAAATTGGAGCTCTTGCAGGGACGTGAGGAGCTGAAGTGCTGCCTCTTGCTAGCATGTTAGTCCTGCCGCGTTGGTATCTTCATATACAAATTGGAGCTGTAGGCATTGGAGAGAGGTGAGGTGCTCGCAGAATGGCGTGGTAAGAAAAGACGGGTCATCGATCCGAAGCCTTTCCAATCGAGGGCACAGGTCATAACCCTGCGTTGATAGACTCTTCAAACATCGGAGGTAAGCCTGAGCATCCGACTACTGTCAAATACCTGAGACCGCGGAGGGATTGGAAGCCCTCTACTGCGTCTAGCGATTGGCAATATCGATTTGCCAGCTCTTCCAGTGCTGTGCAGGAATGCAGCTGTAGAGAATTCAATGCATTGATTCGGACCACTTCTTGTACTTTGAGGCGGGTCAGATCTTCCGGAATGCAGGGCTGCAGCGTTTCTAGGGAAGCGTGATGGATATCCAGTATGCCAAGTGAACACGGGAGAAGCCATCTTCCGTTTGCCTTGTCATTGATTTCGTCTTCACGCACCAAGGACGATATCAACTCGGGGCATTCAACAATTCTTAGCTCCTTAAGGGAGGTGATCGAATCCAGAGAAGCATTGCTTGTTCCTTAGAAACTTTAGCTTGTGTTGTAACACGGCTTCGGCGAGTGACGAAGGCCTCCGACAGCAAGGTGTCGCCAAGGCGTCTTCGACCGTCTTAGGGCGGAGACCTGGCGCTGATTAAAGAAACTTTCCTGGCTATGTTCGTAGGGCACTACATGAGGCTCGGCGGGCTTGTCGCGAATTCCGCCCAGGCCGGGCGCTGAGACCTCCGACCTATAGTCAGGCGGACGCCGCCCCGCTTCGGCTCGCCTCCGGCGATGAGGGCGGAGGCCGTCTTACCTCTAAACTAATTAAACAAACAATCTTGCCTGAGTGTGTGCAGGTACTCAAGCGCAGGCGCCCGTGGTCCGCACGAGCGCGCCAGCATGACCCCCGCGCGGCCGGGCGGAGACATACGGACGATGTCTCCGACCGGACCGGCGGAGACCCGCCAAGGCGACGGCGCGCCCCCGAAGACCGAGGCACGGTGGGCCGGCCGCTTATTGAGGCCCGCTACTTGGAGACGGAGTGGCAGGAATGCCCCGCAAACGAGAGACCAGAGGCGGAATATTCCGGGAATGTACCGTAACAGTTGAGGGGCATTGTAATAAATTCCGTCAGGAAGTAGTTGAGTCCTATAAATAGGGAACACTTGTAACCGTGCGGATGGTTGGTGGATGAATGAATGAAACCCTAGCTTTTCGTGTCAACTTAGTACACGCCCTCCTGTCGTGCCTATCCCGAGCCTCCGCCCAAGGGCGACGTCCGACGGGCGGAGGCCTTAGTCTCCCCCACGTTGTCTGAAACCGCCAGTTTCAACATTGGCGCCCACCGTGGTTTGGCCGAGACAAACCAACGATGGCAGGGAAAAGAAAAACCACCACTAGAGCAGCAACGACCATGGGTCAGAGAGGAAGGCCTAGGCGCACCACTCGTAGCACCTAAGCAACCTCGCCAGCGGAGGATGGCACCAGAGCAGATGCTCAGGGTCAACAACCGGAACCCCAACATCAAGAGATCCAAGAGCCGGAGGCCCAACCAAACTCAGGTACAACACTCGAGCAAGAACTGCAACAGCTGCAAGCACAGTTGCAACGAGCGCAACAAGAAAGGGACAGAATGGCAGCAGCATTCGCAGCGAATCAGCAAGCTACTCAAGCGTCAGCACAAGCAGCAGAAATAAGGCAGCAGTTGGCAGTCCTACATGCTGAGATGCTAAGTATGCAGCATGCAGTACCAGCGTCAACCTCCGCGATCCCAGCCTCCGCAGCAACACCAACCGCAAACATGCCTCCGCCAGTGATCAGCCCAACCACGATGCAAACTCAAGCGATGCGGAGGCCTATCGACCCCAAGTCCCCACTCTCGGAAGGCATACAACAATCGCCATGGCCAACGGCGTACAAGCCAATCACACTACCAAAGTTCAACGGCAAGACAGATCCCCATCAGTTCATTATGAGTTACGAGGCAGCAGTAGCCTCCGCCGACGGAGACGACGCCGTCCTGGCAAAGTCATTTGTTATTGCTGTCGAAGGTGACGCGTTGGCTTGGTATTCCATGCTCAAACCAAGCACAGTCTATTCCTGGGAAAATCTCTGGGATAAGATATTAGCAAACTTCAAGGGGCTAGCAGCACAGTCGCTGACATCCACAGATCTGTTCCGGTGCAAACAAATGCAGGGAGAGACACTACACGACTACTTTTGGAAATTTGTGCAACTAAAGGCGAAGGCACCAGACATCCCAGAAGAGATCGCCATTGAAGCAGCGATCAAAGGGCTCTGAATCGGGCCGTTCGCAGCACACCTAGCAAGAAAGACACCAACTTCCATACAGCAGTTGTATGACGAGTTTGAGAAGTACTGCAGATCAGACAATGACCTCCGGAAAAGGCTG